TTTGTTTTGTTTTGACCGTTTCTACCGACATTTGTTTTATTTTCATTTGTCCGTTACGGAGTAGAAGATGTCGTATTAACAAGGTATTTGTCCATCTTACATTCATGCACAAAAAATTAAAACGTCTTACATGAAGAAACCTTACCTACGATTAACACATGGTTGCAGAGAAATGTGTTCTGAAAGGGGTTCCGTGGTTCGGGAGGGGGGTACTCTGCTGTTAGCACTGGTTTTGAACAATACTGATAAATAGAGAAGCTAGATAACAAGGACTGATGTTCAAAATAATGAAAGACCAAGGAAGAAAATTGAAACGGATTTTATTCAAAATGGCAAAAGACGAAATTTTTTCGAAAATTCGTGCATTTTAAAATTGATTAATAGAGTGCGCGAACTTCTCGCGTTAATCGTTTTTTAATGCGAGAAAAGAAAAAATTAGGCGAGATTCTCGCGCTGTTGTGAAAACAGTGTTCCAGATGTTTAAAAAAAATCATTGTTCACAGAAGTTTCCAGAAATCAATTTTTCAAAGGTGGAACTTAAAAACAAACACAGTTTATTTTATTTGTTTGTAAGAGAGAGCGAGAGAGATTCTTTATAAGCTTATATTCATGATTAATATTAATTTTTTATCAGTAAATAGTTGTTATAATCACAAACTCAGGAAAGAAAGACATATTTGTACATTTTAATTACTTCTCCAGGTCATCATAGGTATGTGTAAAATTTTAAATATATTTTAAGTAAATTAAGAAATGTTGAGAAAAAGAAAAAGAGCCTAGTTGAAATTTTTTTCTGATTTTTCAATTTAAACCGTTTTTTCTTCTTTTGCTTAACTCAAGAAATTTTTCGGAATTTTGACTTGGGCTCACAATTACCCCTGATACAGTGAAACCTCCAGGAAAGACAACATCTGTGTAACGACACTTCTGGGAGACCCAGAATTTTTTCTGTTGAAGAAAACCTTTAGGAGTCCATTAAAAGCTCTCCCGTCTACTGGGCAAACATCTGCACCAAATTCGGAAACAGTCAATATGGAAACACGAAAAAATATCGAAACAAAAGATTTAACAAAAAGAAATAAGTGGATTAAAATGTATTCAAAATATTTGTATGAGGCTCGAGAGATCTTTGTGATGATACAACCTCCTATTGCAGTCAGAGTGCACTATAGATGATGCAATCAATGATTTACTTTTAGGGTTGAAGGTTAAATTAGAAAAACAAAAATTATTTTAGAAAAATAAGTATCTCAAACAAGCAAACCTCTTATCTTTTAATGCTAACTAATTTTTATGATATAAAATTAAATGCCAACTTAAAAAAAAAAACATAATTGTTTATTTATTTAAAATAGCTTTATCATTCATAATTATATCTATCAGTTGTTATAATTTTTATAGACGCTAAATTTTATTCATAGATCTGTCTTTTCGTGATGCCAACGGAAGTGGCACTTCCGACCAAGAAATTGACACTGACTTAAATGAAAATCGTTCGTGAAAAATTATGTACCTTCGACAGCAATTTCGAAATCAGTGGAGGTAACCTCTAAGAACGACCATTTTACTGTAGAACAGAGAGTGGTTGCTCCCGAGAGGTTTTACTATGCATGTATAACCATTACTTAACCCTTTCGAGCCGACTGTCACATATATGTGCAAGCAAGAAACGCGCTCACTTCCCGGCCGACACACCCGCGTGTCAGAGAGTTTTCTCGTTCACCCCCGACCGTCACTTATTTGTGCCAGCTTTTCGGAACGTTTTAAAAAATGAAATTTCTTCCAAAAGATGGCATTGTATGCCCATATGGTTTCAGATACATGTAGATTTGACCTTCTACTCAAGATGAAAGTACAGTCACGTGGTTTTTAGGGGAAGGAGTGGAGGGGGGAATGTTTTATGAGGGCTCTTTAAATTAGCACGTGATATTTATTTACAGTAAGTAAGGGAGTTTTTTTTTCTCTCGCTACTTTCGATTGTCGGATTAGTTTTTAGTGGATAATTAGATCTTGCAGGCTTGAATTTTTTTTCTTTTTACCGTTAGAATGTCGAAGCGTCGAAAAATTTTGACTGAGCTGGAAATACAGGAAATTATGCAAAATATTTCAGATATTGATTCTGAAACAGATTCGGATTGTAGTGATAGTGACACTATAATGAAAATAAAATGTGTAAAATATACATTTAAACAAGAAATAACTTAAGTAAATAAAGTATCCATAGAAATATATATAAAGCATATGTCACTTAAATACTCTACAGAACAATATTAAACAACGCGCTGATATTTCGGTAATTTCATGGAATTAGGCTTAACATCGAAAAACCCTCCGGCCCTGGGGAGACACACGCTAGAGAGACTGCCGGCCTCAGCGGTAAGCACGCTTTCGCGCTTTGCGAGGCGAAAGGGTTAAGAATAAAAAACAATTTTTATATATCTATTCATAAAACATTTTTAAATATCGCCCTTTAAACAAGTGACATGCGTATACCTGCTGAATCCCATAACTGTAGGTAACCATAGTACCTGCCAACTCGAAAGTCTAGTATTTGGAGAAGTTCCTATAACACAACAAACCACAAAATTAATGAATTTAAAAAAATAGGTGGGACAGATCACAACTTTCTAGCCACAAAACAAAAATCAATTTTAATTATAATATTTTCTATATACATTAACTGCATAAAATGTTTTGACTTTTCAAAGAATTTATTATTTTTATTATTGGTATTAGTATGGAAAATTTCAAGAACTGGTTCTCAGAACTTTCATAAGATTTAGATTCTGTATCTACTCACCACTTGAATTCTATCTCAGATTTTACTACACTTCATCATTCTAATGTAAAATACTTTGATTTAAAACTTTGAATGTCTAAACAAAATATATTCTTTAAAAGTCTGGAATCTATTCATTATTCTAATTAATTTTTGCCACAAAAAATTTAAACTTGCTGTTTATAAAAGATTTCCACATTTCATAAGATTTTCATAAACATAAATTTATTTTTCATATGTAGATGTAACTACTTCGAAATAGCTGAACCAGGTAATACGGAAAAATTTTGTGGAGAAAATAAAGAGAACATCTATTTTGAATCAAGAAGCAATTACCTAGCCATAGACTTTCACCATGAGAATTCTATGGCCTTTGGTGTTGTAATATTATTCTCGGTAAAAAGTAAGCTATAGTTTTGATCTCTTCATATTAATGCTTCAGCAGTGCATTCATGTAATGAATTGATTGTTTATGCATGTCATTCGGCATTAAGGTTTGAATAAATTTTAATCATGTTGCTTATTAATGCTAAATATTTTAATAGTTTATTGATAAAATACTAAGGTAAAAGTTTTAAGATTTCTTGTAACTTAAAAAAACATGTTTGAAAATCAAGAAATGTTTCAGCAAAATTATTAATGTTTTTATATTTGCTTGGGTAAATATAGTTACTTCTTCTCTTCTCTTCTTCTTCTTCCTTATCCCCAAAATTAGCAGGGCTAAACTATGTCCATGAAATTCATCACCCGGAGGAAGTCGGCCACCATAAGTGTGTTATTAAGAATGTCCCTTTTGTCCAGACCTAGACAGTCCAGTATATGTTGGGGGGAAGCCTGCATGTTGTGGCACCTGGGGCAGTTAGGGTAGATTTTAATACTACCCTCAAAAGAAAGGGACTTAAGGTGGCCGCTGATAAGCCTGGTAAGTGCAGTCTGGTCCTTGCGGTTGCACCGAATGTTGAGTGCACCTCCTGGACTGGTGCTCTGGTACCAGTGATGTTTGGGGGGTACGAGCCAGGAAGCGAGGTCTTCTTTTTTCTTTTTTGATGCCAGCTCCATGAAGGTGAGGGAATTTGGACTTATCAGATTTTCTTTCGTCCCCTCCTTAGCCAGAGTGTCGGCGATGTCATTGCCCAGAACCCCAACGTGAGAAGGGATCCATTGGAGGTGGACTTCACGCAATCGTGAGAGGATTTTAATTTTTTGTAGGATTGAAGCACCTGTTTTGTCTCTCACCTTCCTCCAATGCGTTAAGTANAACCCAACTTCTTTAAACAGGAATGATATTTTTATTGAATTTTTACTTTCTCTTCAAATGCAGTTTCTTAATATCAAAACTGACTCTCTGCATTTCTGTATGTTTGTTAATAAAGGTCACAAAAAATAATTATAGCTTACTTTTAATATAAATTAATTTTTGAAAAGGTGTTGTTTATATGTTAGCCATAAGAATTACAGTAAATGAAGAAAAAGGTTTTCATATTCAATTATTTCATTTTATTTACTTCACTTTATTTACTTTACAATTAGCTTTATCCACTTATATATTTTACAATCACTTTATTTACTGTGTGGTTTTTTTTTTCTTTAGCAAAATATTATTTTAAAAATTTTATAATAGCTAAACATATTTTTGAGATTCAGTAAAAACATTGAAATCATCTTATTTGAAATCGTTAAGCACCTTAAAATATTTTTTTGTTAGGTTTATCAAATCTAGTTTAAATTTTTATAAGATATCTGCACTAAAAATTTATACTTTTTTTATTGAACTAGCATAAACATAAAATTTGTGGCATATTATGCATAACCCTTAAGAGATTAAATAACTACATTATTGACCACAAATGATACAAAAAATGATAAAACAAGAAGTTTTTACTTAGACTTAATTTTTGATAAATACTGAGTAAATTTACTCAGTAACAACCATTTCTAAAGTGTATTTATAATAATTTTAGAATCCAAATAAGTTTTTCGGTGTAGAATTCTTGTAATGCAAATTTGGTTTACAATTTAAAACTTAATTTAACTTTTTTACAGTGGAACTATTAATTTGTAACATTGTTTGCTCACTGACTTATATGAACTAACAGAAAAATAGTTTGCTATTCAAAGAAACAGCAAGATTTTACCGAAATTGATTATTCTATCTACAGTTAAAAATGTGAAGAAATAAGAATGTTTAATTGAACCTCAAGAGACACATCCTTTTTCTTAATATTTAACTAAAATATATTTTTTTCGCCTTGATCTAATGTTCGAAAAATACAAAATGGTAACAAATTGTTTTACAAAAACTATGTTAATTAGCTTTTATAGATTTTTATGAAAGATTTAGCATTTATAGATTTTTATGAACCTCACACACATCCTTTTTCTTAATATTTAACTTAAGTATTCTTTCCCGCCTTAATCTAATCTTTTAAAAATACAAAATGGTAAAAAATTGTTTTCTATAAACTATGTTAATTAGCATTTATAGATTTTTATGAATGCTAGTATGTTTTATAATTGCTATAGATCTTTTATATTTTAAATTTTATATTTTTTTACAGGAAATAATTACATTATTACAGGTCTGCCTAATGAACCATTCCATTCTGGACATTTCATAGAAACTCCATATTTTCCTAATTCATATTCTGCTGATTATCAATCTGAATACACATTTCATACAAATGACCCAGATGGTCGTGCAATGCTATTGTTTTTGGATTTTCAAATTTCTTTTTCTTCATATATTGAGGTGAGTTTTGCTTATAATTCAACATTTGTTGTGACTAAGTTTAGTTATTATTTATTTTATTTTTGTTAGTATTAATCTGTCTTTTAAACGTTTTGCACTAATGATAGTTTTGCTTTCTTTCCCATAATCTTAAATATATCTTCTCTTTAAACCCAGAATTTTCACTGCTGTAACCATTTATTTTGTTTTAGGTAATTGGTCACAATCATACAATACCAGATCGAATTTATGGTGGTGTATTTCGTCCTCCTGTTTTCGTTTCTCAGCAAAATGAATTAACCTTGAAATTTGAAGCAAACTCACAGCCTGGAAATTCTGGCTTCAGAGCAGTGGCGTATTTTATTAAAAGTAAGTCAGCAAGTTTTTATTTTATTTTTTATAAATATTTTTTTTTCTGCTTAAAAATGTGTTTTGTGCATCTTGATATTCTTTGGGTGAAAACACCTTTTTTTTTTATTAAGGACATTTTCTAAATGAACATGAAAAAGTTGCATACTTTTTCTTGATATCTTATTGTTAATTGTGAATTAAGTATAGCAAGATTAACCTTTGTTATAGCTCACAATAAGTGTTCTCTCTAGTAAAATCCAGCTAAGTAAAAAAAAAAAAAAAAAAAAAAAAAAAAAAAAAAAAAAGCATTTACAAAGGTTAAAATATTTTGTTATTATTAAAAAAACCATTATTATTTAAATCAGATTTTTTTTATTAATTTATCTTGAATTTATGAATTATCTAGCATTGAATATAACTGAAAGTCATTAAATATTTATGTAGATTATTTTAAGAAGAATAAGTACACATTTTAATGTAAATTTATGTAATTACGCTATAAATAATTTATTAATTTCAAAAAAGAAAATATTTATTCTATATTTGTTTTTTATTCATCAAAAAAATTCTGTTAAATATTATAAAATTGAGCCTTGATGGCACATGGTTAAGGCACTGGACTATCACTGTGTTAAACTAGGGTTCTATTCCCAGTGGTGGCATGAAAGCTGGTCTTCTTTAATTTCTATATCTCCAATTTTGTATCTCAAAATGAAGCTTTACTTAGTATTTGGTAGTGCAATAGGTTTTACCGTTAGCTGCACATCAAGGATGTGTCAGGCTTTTATTTATAATCAGGAATGTTTAAATTATCCTTAAATAACCTTTGAAGTGCAATATTGATAACTTTCTATTCGATAATCAGATTTTAAAACTTCATTTGTATTATTTATTGCAAGTTAATAATTGCCAACTTAATAAGTAAACCTAAATTAGAATCTTGTGTGTTACATTATTTTTTTTTCTCTAGGTTATTTAAACTAAATATTAGTAACCAGAAAATATTGATAATTATTCATATTTTTAAACAAGTGATACGCAATACCCATATTTTAAATAAATCTCATTTATTAAATTTAATATTCTACTCATATTTCATTCTTGTTTATTTAAAATCTTGTTTATTGAAATTCAAATTTTTTGTGTAATTGTAGGTTCAGATGTAAAAGCATCAAAGCCATTTACAGGTATGTGACTCTTATTTCTGATTAAATTTGTTTACAATTGTATATTATATTCTTTCATAGAAAATTATCAAACTGTTAAATAATGTTTTTAATCAAAAAGAAAATTAGAATTTAAGCAAAATTTTTATAAAAAATAGGATGCGTTAATTTTTTTAGTGATGTACCTCCAGAAATGCAAAATACTAGGAGCTTAATTTCAAAGAATTTTAATACTTGCTTCAAAATTTTGAAAAGACTCATTTCTCAATTTTATTCACTGACATTTACTGATAAATATTATGTATATGTAGTAAAACAGTATGGACAAATTGAGATAAAATGGAAGCTCTAGTTACGGGTGAAAGTTCAAAGATTTTATTTATTTGAAGATTAGGTGAGCATCAAATTTACACTGAAATTGATTTGCTTTTTTGTTAGAGAAAAGTTCTCTCTATCATTTATGTCACATGCCAAAAAAGAATAAACTCATATGCCAAATTATAATAGGTTGACAAATTAGGTTGCTAAATTTTTTAGAATATCCCTCTTCTTTAAGGGAAAACTTATATTAGTGAAGGTCTGCATCTTTTTATCTATTTTTAAAACATGATGTTGATTACTAATTGCATGAAAAAGTCTTGCTTAGAATAATCAATTAAGAAAGCGAATTTAACAAGGAAATAATATTCAAGGATTTGTTAAATTCATATTATATATATATGTATATATATATATATTTCAACTAGTGAACTCTCTGTCATTTTTTGGTACCTAACTTGCAATTAGGAAGCAAACCCTTTTGTTGTATTTGTACTTGCTTAAATTTTTTATTTTTTAATAAAACTGTATGAACTTTTTCTGAAATTTTAAATCTCTTAAGCAAATATTTCAAAATTAATTGTCAGAAAGAAAATTGAATTTCAATTTATGTGTTACTTTTTTGTTATGTAGTGTTTTTAATTGTGTATTTCTGCGGCAAACTATCACTGTTTCATGTAAAAATAGTTATTTGTTGTAATAATGCAATAGAAAAGGAAACTTTGTATAAATGTAGACTACAGAAATATATTGCTATGGGTTAGCATCCATGGATCTTATCTTCATGCATGTTTATCTTCCAATTCAGTTATATTTAGCTTACTTTGGTCATAATTCATACAATTAACTTTATCAAAATTGATATTCTACTTAATTTCTTTTATCAATTAATAAGACACTTAATTAAAACATTTTCTTAGAGCATTTATAAAGCATCAACTTTTTCCTTTGTTTATTTTTTTTAAATGAGAAATAAAGAAAATATAACAGAATTTCTTTTTAAGCATTTTAGTAAACTTTTTCTTTTAATAAAATAAAATTTTAATAGGCTAAAATTGAAAAGGAATATACTCATATTGTAACTGATCAAAAAACTTATACAATTAGTAGGTTTTACAGCTAGGCTATCCTCTTATCAAACTCTTTTTTTAGGATTATAGCATCATCATTCTAAAGCTGTAGTGTATATCATTTTCATAGTGTATATATTGGGTTGTTCGAAAAGTAATTTCGTTTTTTCCTAACAGAGGATTTAATTGTATTTTTTCACTGCCCGCTTCGCACTTAAGCCACATATTTTGACAGCTGGTGTAGCAAAGTTTGCTTATAAGGTAGATTGATTCTATACCGTAGTTTTTTTTTTTTTTTTTTTTTTTTTTTTTTTTTTTTGGAGACCTTTCAAATATGGAGAGTGAAAAGCAGCATTTACGGCATATTTTACTTTTTAATTATTGAAAAGGTAAAAATGCTATTCATGTGCATGAAGGCGTATTGACAGGTCTGTGTCAAAACTGATTAGAAAAATTTCGATCATGCAATTTTGATGTTGAATATGCAACCCTTTCTGAAAGGCAAGTTGAAACTAATGAAAACACATTAAAAGCATAGATTCAAGCCACAAACAACAAATCGTGAGATCTGTGAGAGATTAAATTTATTGAATTGGTTTGAATTCTGACCATTTGAAAACCTCTAGGGTTTAATCTCAAAGCCCGACCTATAGGTCTTCATATTCTTTCTGAAAGAAATTTATTCTGTTGCATTCACATGTGTGATTTACTTTTTAAAGTCTTGAAATTTTTAAATAAAATAATTCCTTTTTTAAGTGCATCATCACTGCAGACAAGAAATGAGTTTTCATCAATGCTAATCGCAAGAGATTGTGAGGTAAAATAAAACTAGTTCAAAGCAAAAGAGGTCAAAAATCACTTGTTTTAGTTTTTTGCCAGCGAAGAACGAACATTGTATGGGAGTGATAACATGCTGCTGTGAGAAAAATGGCTAAAGGTATTGAACCGGAATGGACAATATGTATTTTAATGAAATATTTATTAGCTATAAGAAAATAGTCTTTCATTTTAATTGCTATAAAACGAAATTACTTTCCAAACAACCTGAGGGATCATTCTACTATTACCCTAAACACCGAATGGAGGGGTGGGGGAGTTGTGATATTTTTACTGATGAAGGGTGAGCATGAGCAATGCTTACATAAGACATTAAAATCTTGAAAAGCAAAATGAAAAAATTAAAGGTGAAAAAATTTCTAATGTGCAATAAAGTTGTATTCTGGGAAAGAAGAGACTAGAAAAAAAAATTCTTTTAAGAGTTTCAGAGGTCAAAGGTTTTGAACATAAAAGATTCCAAAAGAATATTTGACTCACCATTTCATAAAATGATTTAAAACGTAATCTTTGTTTAATGCAAAGTTAATATTTTTTTTTTTTAAGTTTGTATCTAAAACTGGATTACTACAGTAAAAATTGAATCAAGAACCTTGGGGAGTTGCACTTTTCTTACATAAACACTGGTGGGAGGTTCGTGGTTTTCTTATTTTTCGGCAAAGGGGAGAGGGGTATTTAAAATTTCCAAAAATATGTTTATTAATATTTGAATGGTCCTTAATACTTTATTATTAGTTATATATAAATGGCTTTAAAGTTCTTCAATTTTTAATTTTAGTAATTATTTATTACAGATTGTGGTGGTTCCAAATTTGGATTTGGCGGTTTATTAATTTTAGAATCTCAAGAAAGCAGATTGTATGACTGCCTGTGGCATATCACAACTCCTATATTTTCTGAAGAATTTTCATACCTTTTAACTGTGTCTAATATCTCATTAGTTGATGCTGGTTAGTTTTATTTCACACTAAGATTTTATTCACCTTTTTGTTTTATTACATAGTGTTGAAAGTTATTTCAGAATCAAAATGTAGTTTATTTAGTTTAAATAGTCCTCTCTAAATGCAATAGTAATTGTAAAACTACTACGTAAGTAAACTCAAGGTTTATTTCAACCAAAAATTAATTATGAAAATTTTAATTTATAAATATTAATAGAAATTTTAAACTACTTTGAATTTATTTTGTTTAAAATTCAAACCAAGTAAGTAATTGTTAGTTTTTTTTTAAAATACTGTATTTTAATTAAAAAATTCATTATTAAATTGTTATTTATCCAGAGTGATGTAGTACTTATATAGCAGTTTCTTTCATTTACTGGCTTCTTTTTATACTCTACATTTATCTCAAATGGTCAATATTTTTTTCTGAGAGTAAAATAACTTCCTTAAAGTTTAAAATTTAGATTAAATTTTTAACTCAACTGCATTTACATAATCTGGTTTTACGTGTCTTTTATCCTATTTTCAATGTTGTAAAAACTTTAAACTTAACAAATGACTGCCTTTTCATTAGCTCTCTTAATCAATTTATGTTGGTTGTATCTCGATTGAAGTTTAGCGTTTATCTTAAACTTTTCGTATTTTAACATATGAGAATGCTTGTATTTTATTATAGAAGCTCTTTCTTATATTATTACCTATAATAGTTTGACTTAATCTCTGGAATGTACAGATGTATGCATATATATTACAAAATACTTTTTTTTAAAAATCTGTTATAACATATTGTATGAAATAAATTTTCATACAGTGTTATTGGTTTTGCACTATAAAAGCTTAGTCAATCATTAGCAATATAACCTTCTTTTTGCTAATATATTATCTAAATATATTTTTAGGATCCAATTCATCTCTAGAGTTCCGAGAAGGACGAAATTCAAAGTTTCCAATCGTTACAAGTTTTGATTGCGCCAGTATGAACTGCAGTTCTATTACAAGTGAAGTCACTGTTTCTGCTTACACAGGTCTTTATATAAGATTCTTTGGTACACTGAATCAGTTATCTTCTGTTAAAATGGTTTATAGCACATATCATAATGGCAGTAAGTGAAACCTCTTATTTTAATCTGTACAATTCTCATTACCAAATCAAATTAAAAGTTCTCTCACACCACAAGTTTATAGAATTTTTGCTATAATTTGTTTATAAGTGCAAAGAATTGTATACTTAAATTTTAGTAAAGTATATTAATATAATAAAACGTAGCATAATGCTGGAAAAAATAACTGCTGCTATGATTTTTTGACCATCTATTTTTTAAAAAAAATTTCAGAATCTGAATTTTTGTAAATATAATGAATTACCTTATGTCAACATTTAGCAATTTAACAATCTAGATTTTAGTGTTAAAATTGATAGATGACTTATTTAGACAAGAAATAATAAGTCTCATTTATTCAATTTTTCTAATAATGATACAGGTCTGATAGAACATTCTGCAGATTTTTTAAAAATTGTTTTTATAAACTAATGATTCTGGCACTGTTGTTAGAAGAAGTTAAAAGAACCTTTTTTTTTTTGTCTTGATTTTTGAGAAGTTTTTGTACATATAAGTGCAATGCATTATAAAAGATTCTAATGGTAATTTTTTATGACGAAAAAAAAAACGCTTTTATGGAGAAAAAAAATTATTTTATAATAAATAAGCAACATATTTTTGAGTATTTTATTCTATAGTTTATGATCAAATTCCACTCTTTTGTTCATTTTTAACCTGAATTTGCTTTTATAATTCTGTTTCATTCGAAATAAATAAGCTTGCTAATTTTCTTCTCTTGCCATTTTTATACAACAAAAAAACTAATTATATTAATTCTGTCATCTTGAAATGCTGATGTTTAATTCAGAAATGGCAAAAAAAAAAAGGTTTTTCGACTAAGGTTTACTTAAGGTTTTTGGACTTAGGTGTGACACTCACTCTTCCATACTTTTCTTAATATGCTCTAAATATTTGTGCAATTGTAGTTTAAAATAAAAAATTTGTCTTTTTTTTTTAAAAAATTATTATTGTTAAAGTGTTCATTTTGTGAAAATATAAAATTACCTCAATTTTCGAATTGGAAATTGGCTATCTAAGCATTTTAATTTAAAGTAAATAAGCAAAGAGATAAATCTATTTATTTTAATTAATAATAAAACTTTAGAATCTTAACCAAATTTTTAATTTAGGAACTGTTCACAAATGTGCACAAATATTTGATTCATGAGATCTTATCAACATTATTTTTTGCTCTTAATCATTTTATGGAAAAGAAATTTGATCAACAATTAAATATTTCTATATTTTTTTTTATCAGTTTCTTTCATTTGATTTAATATATTTGACCCTAATTAACAATTCAATAACTAAATGTTTTAACTGTTACACTGAATAATAGTCTACAAAATTATTTATTCTCAAAAATGTTTAGTACCGTAATCATTTCATTTCCTTTTGAAATTTCTTGTTCTGCAGTTTAATTATCTGATTAAAAAAAGTCTTAGTAGCATTTACAATTTTTTAATAAAATTTTAGATTGGGAAAGCTTCCTAAAATAATTTTCTTATTAACTACTTTAGAATGAAATTTTTAATCCACGAGCATGTATTTCTAAAAAAAATTTCTCTTAAATTCAACATTTATCAATTTAGTATTTCTGAATTTACACATACATATAAAAATTCTTTTCCCACGGTTTTAAACAAATACCAGCCCAAATTGGTGGAATTGGGTTAGGTAATAATTTTTCTTAGAAATTTGTTTCTAGTATATTCTTTTAAATAAATAAAATGTTTTCATTTTAAATTGCTTGTTAATTGGGAAAGTACGATTACCCTTTATTTTTCAGATTGCAGTCGTAAACTACCATATTGTCAGGGAAGATGTCTATCTCCAAGTTTATTGTGTGATGGTATAGAGCACTGCCCTGATGCTAGTGATGAACTAGAATGTACAAGTATGTTTGATGTTAGTTTTCAATATTTGTGTATTTTAATTCTATAAAAATTGTTTTTACAATTTAGATAATTACATACTGGAGAATGATATTTTTCCATCTGATGTGTAAGATTAACAGATCTTAGATAGGATCAGGTGGGGTACAGTGGGCATAAAATCAAGCTTTTTTTTATAGAAGGGTCTAAAATCAAACTATCCGATTTATTTTACCAAAAATTTTGGTGCATTTTATGTATGAGGGTTGTAAATTCAATAGTGGCAACTTAACCTTGAAACTCACAGAAGGCCGGGCATGCGCAAGTAGGATCTGGGAGCGGTAAGGTGGCGCTGTTGTCGATGTGTAGAGTGCAAAAATCAGTCAATCTGCTTAGAAGGATAGTTATTGTGTGGCGCTAAAGTGAGGACTTTAGTTTACATCGCTCTAAAGCATGTTTTCAAAATGCTTAATGACGAAAGAAGACGAGATGCCTTAACCCATTGTGCTACTGTCCTATACGGTAAAGCATTTGCGCCACAAGCTTCCCCTAATCCTCGATAGCATTCTGTTGCATTTTTTGCCACAGGCGACCTACCTCTATTTTAAGCCACGACTGCTGATCACCTTTTGAAAACATGCTTTAGAGCGATGGAAACGAAACTCCTCACTTTAACGCCGCACAACAACTACCCTTCTAAGCAGATCGACTAATTTCTGCACTCTACACATCGACAACAGTGCCACCTTACCGCTCCCATATCCTACTTGCGCATGCCCACCCTTCTGTGAGTTTCAAGGTTAAGTTGGCACTATTTAATTTACAACCCTCGTATATTGGATTATAAAAATTAAATATAATGCATAACATATCTATTTTGTTCGATTGTTTTTTTACAGTAATGCATTCAAAAGAACATCTTTTGATATACCCACTCTACGACAGAGTGGCATAAAGGGAGTATAGTTCTAAAATTAGTATATATCCCATTGAAAAACAAATGTAATTATTGTTTTAGAAATAAAAACGCTCTTAAATAAATGTATCATGATTATATTTAAAAAAATAAATGCTAATGAATTGCATTTTTTCATATTATTTAATCAACGAGTAGATGTTTATTTCTACAAAATTGGGTTTCACTTTATATTGAATCTACTTTGCTGAACTTTGCACAATTTCATCAAAAAACAGGAAAACTGTAATAGTTTTTGGTTTATTTTAAATGTAAATGAGTGTAAATATTAATATCTTGAGGGGAAATTAAAGTGTTTATTGTTTATAGATGACGTGTATTTCTATTCAATTTAACTTTAAAGAAATTATTTTGCTTTCCATGAAAATACTTTGTATACTATGTCAGTTATATTGTTATCTCCCCATTACTATTCTTCTTTTAAAAAAATTAAATTATAAAGGAATTTTGTTTTCAGTGTCAAAATTACTATGTAGGGCTATATTCAAACAAGTAAATTATTATTTACACATTTCATTATAAAATATCGAACATTCGATACTTACTAAAGCTGACACAGTAAAAAGAATACCCTATCATACTACACTTAGTTAAGCCTAACTATATACCCACATAATCTTTAAACTCATCCCATATAATCTTTAAATTAACTGATGCAAAAAGAGCAAAGACAGTGAATTATTTTGTTCTTTCTGTTGTTGTTAATTATTGAGTGTAAAATTAAATTGTAAATTTGATATATATCCATACTTGATATCTATTTAATAAATAAATTTAGGAAAATATTTTTTTTTAATGTATCAATAATCAATATTAATAAATTAATAATTTTTTTACCCTTTGAATCTAAAGTGTACAAAGCTGTGCATAGGTTTATTATGTATTTTTCAGAGAATATATATTTCACACTGAAACAGTCACCTGATACCAAAAATTGCCATATCAAGTAGTTTTAAGTAATCATATAGCCTTAAAGATTTTTTAATGATATTTATTCAGAACTGCCAGTAGATCTTTTACCTAAATGGTCTCAATTTTGCAGACAGCCCCTAATATTCTCTTTTATTACAAAGATCTCCTTATATGATTTCGTGTCGAAAAATTTATCTTTTTAAGTTTTCAGAATTTTATGGAGAAAATTTAGAATTGTTTTGCATTAATGCCTTCGATAGCAGCATGAAGCTTTCTGTTATGTTTGTCCAAAAATGTTCTCAATTTAGAAAGGATTCAGCAAAATGATGCTTACGTTGAAATACATCAACAAAATTGCTCTGATAAATCAAACTTGTTTAAAACTGATTTTCAGTGTTAATAATGCTAAACTCTACTGTGTCAGTGAACTAGCACATATAGCTAAACTAATATGAACTTTTAAAGTAGTCTCAAATGGTTTTTAAATATTGCGATATATTTCAAACAATATGGAAAATTTGAATAATGAATTTGAGTATTTACTTTTTAGGGCAATAATTCTGTCTAATTTTTGGCAGTTATTGCTTTTGATTCCTCCATAGTTATTAAATCTGGTATTTTTTATACGATACTATTTTTATTACTAATTACAAAAACCCAATCTTGAAAGCTTTTTCTGTATGTTTTCATATTATTTCATAATTTATCTATCACCTATATCATTTAACTAGCTCAATTTGAAGTCTCCCTTTAATCATTGAAATAGCACGGTAAGGCATAGAAATCCTGCACTTTTCATAAGATTCTTTTTATACTTTGAGAACCCCATGCTACAATCATTGCTTGTAGCATAGCCTTGACCATTCTTTATTAAAAATATTAAAGTGTAGCATTATGATTCAGTAGTTTTTTGTAAAGAAAAGTACTAAAACTTAAAGAAACAGGAAAAAGCTTATGATTAAGTCTTAAGCAAGAATGAAAAGTTTTATTCAAGAATATATACTGATGATTTCTTAAATATTGTACCAATTGTATATATTGATATACAGGGTGAGCCAGTCAAACCTGCATTTTTGAAATGACTGTAAAAAATAAACGGATGGATATCTCAAAAGTTTATTGTTACTATCTTAATCTACATTAAAAAGCATTTAAGAAACAACATTCACTGTTTAAAAATAACGCAGGTGTGATGTTGTCCTTCCTGATCGAGACATTCTTGTAGGCGATTTCTGAAACTGCCCATCACATCACGGAGCATACGCTGAGGAATTCTCTCGATTTCCAACTGGATTCTCCTCTTGAGTTCCCCAAGCGTTGGAGGTCGGTCGACTGGCCACCTGCGGTGAATAAGCGCCTATCAATAATAAGCGTTGAAGGTCGCGATTGGGGATGCCAAGAAATTGCTCCACTTCGGGATATCCCCCGATTTGGAAAAACAACGTTCGTTCACTTTCACAGCTAACGAACGTTGTTGTTTAGACCACTGCTCCATGTCGACTGAAATGCTTAGTTGTGGGGGACACAATGGTAATTTTAGTAAATCTCTCCGCCCACTTTCATGGCTCTTCCGCCCTTTTCAAAAATGCAGGTTTGACTGGCTCACCCTGTACAAAAAAAAAAAAAAAAATNAAAAAAAAAAAAAAAAAAATAGCAATGAAAATCACTAATCTTTTATCATTTGCTATAAGACATTTGTGGAAGTGAAATAAGTTGAAAATATTTAAATTCATAAAAATAATTATCCAATACTCAGTTTAATTGAATACTATACCAATCAGAAATTAAGTATCTTTTATATCTGTAAAAAATTTTCTGCTTTAACGAATGAATAGATAAAAATGTAGAAAAAAACAAATAGAAGCAAAAATAGTGATGAAGGGTTAAAGCAAAAGTATTAGAAGTTAAGATATGCAATGAATTTGCTAACTGATTATCTTTTTTGTACAATGTATGCACGCTTTTAACCTGACAACAGGGGAATAAATTTTTGTCCAACTCTTTTCACAATGGGACTTTTTACTTTATAGTCATAATATTGCATATAATATTTGTTGATAAAAAATGTCGTTGTGTCTATTGTAGTAGTAATTCGTCTATGATGAAATATTTGCCATACCCGTTAACAGTTTAAAGTATTTTTTTAATTTAAGTTTAAATGATTTTTATGATTTCTTTTTAATACTTCATAATTGATTTCTTTTTAATACTTCATAATTGATTTCTTTTTAATACTTCATAAATGATTTCTTTTTAATACTTCATAAATGATTTCTTTTTAATACTTCATAATTGCTAAAAAATTTATCTATTAATTGTTTAGAAAGAAAACCATTAATGTTTCCTTCTTTTTACAGAAGATTATAAGCAATATAAAAGTGAACTGTTCTATATAGGTGAAATGTTGTATACTTTAGCATAAACAGTTTTTTAAGGTTAGATTTGCCACAACTAAAGTATAAATTTTGAATAATATTAATTTTGCTTTTTTTTATAGCACCAACTACAGAAGTGACTACTATCGCCCCACCTGTTGTAAAGAAAAAGATTGCTCCTTCAGAAACTGGGATTTCTTTCCATATAATTTTATCCTTTGGTATATGTGGCCTGATTGTCGTTATATCTGCAGTAATTTTATTAGTATATAAACGTGTGAAAACTGTTCCTTCTGCTGAGCATGGTGAACATCAAGAAGTGGTAACTGAAATGTTAGGTATGCTGCTTATTAACATGACTGTTAATACAAATTGCTTTTAAAAAATATAACTTTGATGTTTGCATTTTTTAATAATTTTTTTTTAAAATTGTTTTTGCATAAACATAAATAATTTATAAACAAGGCATCCCTAAATTCAAGCTGGTAATGTTTTGCGAAAATGCAGGTTTTAATTAAAAATTGGGAAATTTTATTTATTTTTAAATTTGTAACATATATAGTTATGTGATGAACAGCATATCAGATGGAGAGGGGTACTGTTACATTAACTTTTTTTTTTCTTCAAAATTTTTATTGACTGTTTTTGTATAAATGATCTTGAATTTTCTTGATACGACACTCAGTTAAAATGAGTCAAAATGAGGGGTTCCTAAATTTGTTGACATAAATCTTAGACTTCAAAAAACTCTGAAGGAAAAAGTCTAATAACATTAAATCACATGATATGTTTGGCTAATTCTGATCACCAAAATTGGAAACTGCGCGAATAGATCTCTAACTACTATGTTCAACAATGAAAACACTTTGTTCCAATGTGTAGCATTTCTTTCTTGATAATGATGTACTATCAACTGTCATTGTTTCATTTAATTTTTTGCCATATTTTATTACACAATTGTTGCAAAATTCAATCTTTACATTTAATTTATATTCATCTTTTTGGCCAGGATAGCCTGGTTAGTAGGAAGTTGGACTCTTGTTTCTGAGAACGGGAGTTTGAATCCAGCCGCGGGAAAATCCCCATGTATTAAATGGTGACTGGTGCACATTAAATCTGCCATGGTCGCAAAATCTTTCAAGTTCCCATAACAAATCAATACCTCTGGGGTACCTAAGAGCATACCTGCCAAGTCTCCTGTTTTGTAACGAAGACTCTGTATTTTACAACTATCTCCTGTTTACCTATATTTTCTCTAATTTCTCCACATTTTTTGAAGAAATTTTAAGAAAACTTTTTTTGTGATAAATATCTGCTATTCAACAAAATACCTTTCTTATTCCTCGACACATGGCGTTATTGCTAGTACTGCAGTTCATGTGCTGCCATGCCAACCAAACCGTATGTAGCGAGAATGCTGTTGTGAGTCGCATATTAAATGAATCGTTTTTTCTCTAAAGTTAAAAAAATTTGCTCCGAATTTCGCTCATTACTTTCTGATAAAAAGTAATTTCGTTAGTAACTGTTATGAACAGATCTTTGATAAAAAATATCCTATGCAAAGCCAAGTCAGCTACTTATGTTTGAAATATGAATATCTAAAAATTCTGTAAAATAAAGTTAATTAATTGGAATTATAAAAATTATTTTTATAGTCTTAGTAATTATGAATAATGGTTTTAAAAAATCTTTTTTAGTTTAAGATTTATTTACATATTTTTTAACTTCGCTAATTGTAAGTGCTTATATTACTTCTATATTTTAATTTCTTTTTTTACTTGCATGATGTATCAAAACTGAACACGTAACCAAAATAATGTCCTCAGTAAAATATCAGTTATTTTATTTCTCCAATGTATGCAAGATTCCCTTGTCTACTGGTTTAGGTTCAAAATTATAAGGCTAAGGAGTTGAACATTGGCAGCCTTAAATTCAAATTTGGGTAGGCTGTTCGACAACGGTTATAAAATAAAATAAAAATTCTGTTCACTGTAAAAATTCATCTGTAAATAAAAATTCCTCATTAAATGTTCATCTTTTTTTACTCTTAGGGCCTCCTCGGTACCCAACTTCAGAACATACAACGGTTGACAATCTACCAACATATGATGACTTCATTCGAACTGCAGATCGCTACCCACCTCTATTATACACCAGAGCAGCTAAGCGATATTCTGAGCCACCCTATCCAGCTCGCATTAACCTTATACACACTACAAGCTTCTGCAAGATACCTGCAATGAGTAGTCAGTCTTCTGATTCCTCTTCATCTGTGGAAACCATGTTTGTTGATGAGCTTCCTATAACACCAGAACCAAGTTGTTCCTTTGAACGAAGCAACATAACTTCCAACTTCACTAAACAGGAGTCTCCGAATTGCTCACCTCAAATCAAGAGAGCTTGGCTATCAGATTCAAAGTTAGATCAGCTTAGGAATAATGACTGCCATTTGCACCTTTCAATTACGCACTGTACGTCGCCTTACAGCAAATGCAATTGTTCACTTAAGCAATACTATTCTTTGCCAATCAAATTTAAGATTAACAACTGTAAAAGTAATGATATTAATATAATTCTACCTAATAATGCAGCCCCAAAGGTCGACTTTGGTAGATCTCGGCATTTGTCTTTCAGTCACAATTCTGACACTAATTCTAAAATAGTAACCATTAAAACTAGATGCCATAGTGATCCATGTCAGTTTAGTATTCAATATTCAGTTTATCCTTGAATGTATAAGACAAAAAAAAAATTTGGTTGTATTTTTTGCTGGATGTTTGTTGTTACTAACATTTTCGTTGTGAGCCCAAAGTTAAAGCTCAGTTTGTTGCATTCCATGTTTCATTAATTTAATAACAAAGAATGTTATATCAATTCAGTTTTACAAAATGTTTCAATTGAAACTTAATACATATAGTTTAATGAGGGTTAGGTTTATATTTGCTGAGCAATATTTCTTCCTTTTTTTGTTTTGGAAAGGAGTACTTTCTAGATTTACAAATGTTTAGTTGATTTATTGCATAATAATATTTTATGTTAAATTGTTTTATATTTATAGAATCTTATTTGACATATCATTGACATAAGGTGTTTACTCAATCAAAAACAGTTTGTGTAAAAGTAACATTTTTTGTTGGCTATTTATTTTATTTTTATTATTATTTGTTAAAGTAATCCAGTTTTTGACACATGTGAAACTGGATTACAAATTGTTATACATATTTGGCTGTATAATGTAGTATTTGATAAATTTTCTATTTGTGAGAAATAAATAGCATTAACAAGTTCTATTATGTTACTATATAATAAAGCATTTTTATGTTTGAACAAGTAGTTGATTCTAAAACTACAGTTAAATTCCCTAACATTTTAAAGATGATAAAATTAAATATTTTTCTATTGCTTTTAATCTGAAACACTAACCTTTTCCATTTATATAATATTTTTAATAAATTTATAATGTATAAATAACTAATTTTTCTCCTCATTTTATAATTGACCTATGATTGTCATTGTTGTAAAATGGAAGTAGAAAATGGATTTGGAGTATTTTTGGAATGATTTAAACTAATTTTAAAAAAAATTTGTTTGAATCATTTTTATTCTTAAACTTATAAATATAAGAAGTTGTTAACAATTTTAGAGGACTGTCTGAATCATTTAAAGTAAGACATTATATAATGGAGCTTGTTTTATAAATAAGGACTATATATCGACTTTTGAATGTTACATTTTATATGTTTATAGATTTTATGCATCCATTAAACTTAAATGTCAGTATTCCATAATTAATGCATTCATCTAAGAGGAGTACTAAAAAATCTAGAATACAATACGCAAGCTGTTCAAGGTATTAAATATTATTTTTGTTGTGAAAGTTGAGTATTTTCAAAGGAGATGGCTTCTCCTTGATATTTTAAATTGCCTTAATTTTTTAAAGTTTTATTACCAAACCTAATAGTGTATTTTATTTGGATTTTTCACATTAGAAATTGTGAAATTTTTGTAATACAAAGTAAAATGTGTTACTGATATCAAAATGTATTTTGTTTAGTCTTTATAAAAAGTAATTTATTAAACTGAAAGTTATATAATTCTGTTATGACCAGCTTTGTTTACTAAGAAAAATATTAGTAGCAAGTTACTCAACACAAACCCCTTTTTTTTGACCTAGCAACCTCAAAAATTAAAAAGGACCTTACGTAGTTAATGGGGTGGAATATTCTTTCATGTGTTGTACTGCTGTGAGGAATGGCTTAAAAAACCGCCAGCGTAAACTTGATCAATTCAGAGCCGTCCTTTTTTTTCCTGTGACTGACTAAAAGTAGTCTTGTTGAGAAATAAACAATATGACAAATTTTAATATAAATTTGATTGCGCATCTTTCATTGTCAAATTTTCAATTTATCTTGTAATTTAATTAGGAAAAAAACCTTTTTAATGACTTCTATTTATTTCGTATATTATTTCTGCAAAAACTGTAATAGATTTGTAAATGCATTGATCAGTATTTATATGTTTTTAATCTCTTTTCAATATTTCATTTTCTCCATACATTGTAAAATGATGCAAGCTAATTTATTTTTGTTAACGAACACTTTGAAACAGTTATGATTTATAACTATAGATCGACAACTCGACTTGGTTATTCAAGTAATTTTTTTTTATTGAAATGTGTCAAAACCGTATTTACATGGTATCATTATAACCAAAATTCTACAGTGAGTTTCTAATTCAAAATTTTTATGACAACTGGATATATCAAAATGAGTGTGATAGTATTTGGATCATTTTCAAAATAGAGAGGCATTTTGTAAAATCTTTGTTGAAATTTTTATTTTCGATTTGCTACATAAAAAGTGTTTAATTATGTTTTCTCTTAACACTGTTTAGATAAAATACGTTTCTTGAAACTATAAACATAGTTTTAGCACCTTCATTATTGTTACCAGCATGTAGTATCAATTATTTTTCTATGTTATAATGGAAGGTAAAAATATTTCCTCTCTGTTACAATATTTCTCCTCTCTTGAAAACATTTCACCTTTGTTTTCGAAAAAATTGTAAGCTTTTATTTAATTTACTACTTTAAAAAAAATTAGTTTACGCCACTTTTTCTTATTCTATCTATAAATATCAAGATGCTAAGACTTTTTTCTTAAAAAAATGGCATTTTTGGATTTTCCTTTTCCTAGCAAACAAAAGAGCTTAAACAAACTATTCAAATCTTAATAACACTCAAAAAATGTTATTAAAAAATCCTTATATTAAGAAATGTTACTTAATTAACACTTAATTTAAATGTTTACCGTTCATCACTAAAATTGCTGTTTGTTAAATTATACCGTGAAATAAATTTTAATAAATGGTAGACAACAGAGTGGTAAAAGAGCAACAAAGGGGGAAAGCTGTTAATAGAACTAAATTATAAATGTTCTTGCATAGAAAGTTATTGAATTTTAATCATGCAAACATTGATACCTACTTATATTTCTTTTAATAAACTTAATATGCAATGAAATACTAAATTAAATGTCAATAAATTAAACTTGAAAGAAATATTCCTCACATAAAGCTTTAAAAGAAAAATATTAAAATATTTTTTTAAAATTTATTTGTATTTTTCTAGTTTAAGTTTAAACCAGCCGAGTGGTTAACGTGCCTGACTCTGAAACCAATGGCTGTTTCTCTCTGTGAATGTGGTGGACATCTGCGTGGGTAATGTTGCTCACTTCTGTGACTTTGGTCACAAGGTGCTCATCAGGTAACGCAAAATGAGCACACATTTGGCACCTTCCAAAGTGAAGAACGATAAGTTTAGTGCCTGCTGTTAGGGAAGAAAAAAGTTTGTTTAATCAGAAAAATTAGCCTTAATAAAATTGAAAAACAAAAATCCATAAGCTACTTTTTAATAAAAATATCTACATTTAAAATTAACTTCCATAAGCATGGTCCAGCAAGTAAATTTGCTTGGATAAGATTATATTGAGGAGAAGACAAAATTGAAAAATATAATTTGATCTTACCATTTAAAACTCAAATGAACATTTAAACTATAAATTTAAAATAATAAAGCTAGAAACAAGGGGGAAAGTTAATGAAGCATACTTTTTTATAGCTTTTCTTAGAATACAGGAAATGACTATTTTTAAAATCTCTACTTTATCAAAAAATATTACATCCAGGGAGCTGTGGGACCTATGTTTGAAAACTCAATAAAAATAATTTAAAATAATAATTATGGTAATAGATTGGAAAATATTGTGGGATGCCATCAAATTGTTTAATTTTTACTAAAAAGTAATTTTTAATCTGTATTTTAGATAAACTGTGCTATGTATTTCATATAACACATTTTAACAAGCATATAAAATTAAATTATTTTCAATTTCACGTTGCTTAATTGTCAGTTAAATAAGAAGATAAAAAGGCGGGGACATTGCAATTTAATTTTTTTATTAGCATATTTATTATTCATATTTTTAGTTAGCACTATTTTTAAAATACTAATTTCTATGCATCTACATTCACTAAAAAGATATAGTAAAATTAACTTGAATGCTTAAAAATATTGTTTGGAATTTTATTTCAGCAATTAAAATTACTTAGTCATGGGACATTGGTTATAAAAATTTATTGGAAATGACTCGCGGATCCTACTTTGTATAAATGTCAAAACAATTTTAAATATTCTGAGTTATAAAAATAATAATAAATAGCAATTATTACTTGAGATCCCTGTCATAGAATTTTAAATTTAAATTTTTTTTTACTCAAGTTGTATTTTTAATGTAATCAGAAGATTAGTATAATTGAATCAAAGAGTTTGAAAACCATTCATCTCCAGCAAAACTAATTTTACGGAAGAGTCAAAAAACTAAATAGATTTAAATCTTGGACTACATAATCATGGGTAAATTATTCATGTAGATTCAGAAATCTTGTGGATTATGACTATCATAACTGGGACACTTGTGAATTTCTTCATAGAAAGACAAAATGTCATTAGGTTTATATTCTAAAAACTTATTTAATATGTCTGCAATTTTCTTGTGATTTATGACAACTATTTCAAAATATGTTTCTTAACTGGTTATGGTGACACTTTTACATTATTTTTTTATACAGAGTAAATATTGATTTGCATGAATCACCACTTCAACTTCAGGTGTAGTGCTTTTATAAGTAAAATTGCTATAATGTGACACCTAAAACTGTTGTTTCTCCTTTCTTACTTTCCATAGGAACATTTTGACAACACATTTTTCTTATAATCCTCCAGACAAAAGCTTTTAAAATAAGTAAATTATTTGAAGACATTTCTCTTACAGATCATAGATATTTCTTCTAGAATATTCTATTTATTTTCTTGCATATACCATCTAAAGAACTACCCTCTGAACCACTCGTATGATAAAAAGCATCAACAAAATAACAAGCCTTAACTAAATAGTCAATAGTTTGGTTATGCAAACAATTTTAAAAGCAACAACGGCAGCTATTAAGCGATATATTTCCAAGTTTATTCCGAGAACAGGTCATCTCCAGGATATGGCATGTTTTCAAACTAAATTCAGATTTCATTGTACAAAATATACTATACAGGGTTCCCGCGGTCCTTGAACAGTTTTACTAAATTTAGGTTAATGCTAGAAGATATTTATTTTAACATACCACTTTATCATCAAGTGGTTTAGAAGATAGAATTTTCATGCATATATGCTTTCTTTGGAAAACAATTTTTAGTGGTGATTACACAGAAATATCGACATTTGTTTTATTTTCGTTACCACTTTTTTCAATTTTCAAGACTCGTAGGAACCCTGCTGTACCAAGTAGGACATGAATTTTTTATATCCTAATTATGTATCTGCAACAACTAAACTTAAATGATTCACAATTTTGAGAAACATGGAGATAACTGGTTTTCAGACTCTACCCAAAGGATAAACACTAAAATTTTGAAATCTGATACCTAAAATCACAGATTTTTCAAAAATGAAAAACAAGAAAATATTTTACAAAAAAAAAAAGGGTTTAAATTGTATTTTTAAATATTTTTCATACAACAAAATAAAATATATGTATTGTATGTTATTAAATATATTGTATGTTTAAAATTTTTTATAGAAAATATATTTATCTGGTAAAATTTGTAGAAAGATGGTTTTCAATTAGAATTTAGAATACTTTGTGTTTATAAAAATAGAAATACAACATTAAATAAATACAAAAAAAAATCTTGACAAATTATTTTATTGCATAGATCATTACATCCCATAATAAAGGAATTCAGTAAGCTGTGTATGTAGATATTTTAATATACAATAAAATTTCAAAGATAAATAAATTTTCGGAATGTGTTATTTACAACTAGAGAGTTTCTCTCTAAGTGTACATAAAAATTCTTTTTTAATATAAAATGAAAAATTATTTTCACAATCATATATGTAGTTATTGCTTTTATATTTTTACAAATGACAGAAAAACACATCAGGTCACTTATTTTTGTTTTGAATAATTCATACTTTGAAATAATGAAGAAAAGACACCCAATTTATTTATTATAAAAATACTGAGTCTGGATATTTGGAGAGGAAATATTTGGCAGCATAATAATACACATGCTTTTTTTTTCAATCAAAATGAGTGGCTGAGTATATCATTATCCATGTTACCTATAAAGAAGAAAAATAAGCAATATTTAGAGTGAATTTAATAAGAGACAAAAATAGCAATCCAATAAGACTTTCTTGTTTTCCTTTAATTCTTGCAATAATTTAAAACTATACTAGTTTTCTTAGAAGACCATAAGAATTGCAGAAAAACTTAAAAGAAAATAAATAAAATTTTCTAAGATTCAGTAGTATGGGAGCTGAAACAAATTTTGCTTAACATTACTGTATGCGCATCTGTGCAAATTTTACGCCAAATTTAGTTTTTGATGGACTTTTTTACCAGCATATCACAGCTGAGACGTTTAAGGGTCATTTCTATTTCTCCTTTCAACCCTTCCCTAAATCAGAAAATGAGCAAACAGGAAATCATGTGAAAATTTTTATGTTTAATCAAGGTTTTGTGCTACGTCATTTCTTCGTAAAATTTACAACACGTTCATGGTCGTGGGTGAAAGTTCGAGATTTTTTTCTTCCAAGTATTTTGAAATTTTGTGTTCATAATGGGTGTGTATTATTTTTATGCATAAAATAGAATTTATAGTTTTTATATCAGTTTTCTTGGTAAAAAAATATGTACAATCGAGTGTTTTTCTTGCTTTCTCCAAGAATTGTCTGACAAAGAAAAGGAATGTAAGGAAACATTTGGATTGGAGATTGTTAGCAATTAAGGAAAATATAGANGTATATCATTATCCATGTTACCTATAAAGAAGTAAAATAAGCCATATTTAGAGTGAATTTAATAAGAGACAAAAATAGCAATCCAATAAGATTGTCTTGTTTTCCTTTAATTCTTGCAATAATTTAAAACTATACTAATTATCTTACAAGACCATAAGAATTCCTGAAAAACTTAAAAGAAAATAAATAAAATTTTCTAAGATGGGAGCTGAAACAAATTTTGCTTAACATTACTGTATGAGCATCTGTGCAAATTTTACGCCGAATTTGGTTTTTGATGTACTTTTTTACCAGCATATCACAGCTGAGACGTTTAAAGGTCATTTCTATTTCTCCTTTCAACCTTTCCCAAAATCAGAAAATGAGCAAACAAGAAATCATGTGACAATTTTTATTTTTAATTGAGGTTTTGTGCTACGTCATTTGTTCGTAAAATTTACAACACGTTCATGGTCGTGGGTGAAAGTTCGAGAATTTTTACTTCCAAGTGTTTTGAAATTTTGTGTTAATAATAGGTGTGTATTATTTTTATGCATAAAATAGAATTTATAATTTTTATATCAGTTTTCTTGCTTTCTCCAAGAATTGTCTGACAAAGAAAAGGAATGTAAGGAAACATTTGGATTGGAGATTGTTAGCAATTAAAGAAGATACAGAAATAAATACATAATATCAATAGTGAATCTAAACAATATATTTCGGGCAATAATGATAATAATTCAAGGAACAGAAATTATTATGACATGTTCTATGTTGGCAAAGATAAATCTTCAAAGTAGTGAAAGGTAAAGTATGCAAACTATTAAAAAAAAGGAATATTTTATCTCCTGGCCCAAAGCACCATGCCAAGGATATAGAGAAAGAAATAGGATCATTTCTAAAAATACTTGACATAAATATGGTTGATGAAATTTTAGAGTGTACAAAAAATATGTAAGCGTGCTAAAAGGGATACTCAAGAGATTAAGACTGTACTGTTACCTCAATAGTGGAAATGATGGCATACTTTAGGTTATTACAAAAGATAGGATTCAAAAAATTATTATTAATATTCATTCATTCCAGTCATTTTCCTTAACAAAAACGGTAAAATAACAGATGTCATAAAAAATAATGATCACACACTCGTGTAAAAATACAAAGTGTGCGTGCAGAAAAGTTAAAAATAAAAATTTGCTAAGGGATGAATATACAGGGAAACTTGCTGTTATGGACACTCCTGCAAAACGGACGCTTCTTGTTACGGACATATTTTTAATTCCCAGTTAATCCTCTATAAATAAATAATGTACATTCTCCGCAAAATAGACACTTGTGTAACTGGAAAGCCATTTTTGCTGTGAAACATTATTTTCTATCTCTTCAAACCGGACACTACTTCTTCTATTTCTACTTTAAATTTGCAAGAAAAAAAAATTTCAACTTTTCACCATTTTTAAAGCATGTAAATTATTACAGGTTATGAGACCCCACAAGTTGAAATGAAGTTTTAAATGCTCTCAATGCTTTTTCCCCACTGAAAATTTCTTTTATTTTCTTATCAATTTGAAGACTGTATTTAATACAGCTGAGTTAAAAAAAAAAAAAGAGAACAGACTTATAATCTTTGAGTAGTTCATATAAATAAAACATTTATTCAGACACTTGATAGATGATCAAAAGTGAATAATCAACTCCATAGGTCCTCATTCCTTACAGGTATGCATTGCTTTCTTTTCTGTGAATTGTGGGAGGCTTACTTTCGTGGAGTTATTAACCAAGTTTCCTATCAAGTGATAGGTAGGTGTTGGGGTGTAAACCTAATCATGGAAACCGACTGAGGACTAAAAGCAGCATCAATGACTAACTTGAATAGTGCTAATAGGAAAATTAAATTCATTTTTCTGTACATCTAGAATTATGTACTTATATCATAGGTAATTTTTAATATTCTTTTTGAATAGAAAAAAATATTTTTTAAAGTTTAAATAAATATCCCAGTAGATAGTTATTGTAGATTATTTCTTTATCTTTGAAAATATTCTAAAAACAATTTACGGTGTTAAACTTCGTTATTAGGGTACCCTTCCTGTAAATTGACAATTTTTTCAGTCCTAAGAAAATCTGCTTAACAGAGGTTTCACTGTATATACAATGAGTAACTGAAAAATGATTCATGATAAAAAGAAATTAGTTAAAGAGTTCATAATTTTACATAACTTGTCAGTAAAAGAGACAGTTGACAGAAAAAATTGTAAAATATTTTCTGACACACTCATGCCAGACCATTCAACACAAATATTAGACACTGCATCTCTTAATTTTCACTTAGGACACAAGTTGTTGCTACAAATGGGAATCATTTTCACTACATTGTGTTATAGTTTTCCCAGTTTCCACTGTCATCTGTCAATGTATTTTGTAACTAATTTTAAAAACTTGGTAAGAAATACTCAAGTTTCTAAACACATTAAGCACTGCATCTCTACCTCTTCTTGATTCATTTATTATTATATATAATTTATCAAATTATTAGTCATTTTCAAGACATCTAATATTTGCTTTGTCAGAATATTCTAACTCAAATATTGTTAACATTTTAAACTTTCTTACCAAAAAACTTGCAAATGAAGTCATGAAGCCTTCTTTGATTAGTTCCCACGTCCCTCCATATTCTTCGTCATCTACTTTTTGAAAGGATGATGTATATGTATGAAGAATTACAACATTTAATAAACAGAACCTAGAATAAAACTTGAAAGTTATTTTTCTGAAATATATTCCTTAAAATAGACAAAATTTAAAAAAAATAATATAGTAATAACAAAGCTCAGATATATAACGAAGTTTTTTAAAAAAATGAAAGTAAAGATAAAAAAGATGTCTAAATATTAATTTAATTACACTCAAGGTAACATTCCAAAAAATGAAATCATTTTCACAAACATTAACAGGGGTCTGTCTAGGTCTTTTATAGAGCTCCCTATTTCGTGAAAATTTAGACATAATTTGTGAAATTTAAAAATTTTATTAAAAAATCAACACAAAAATATGGTAAAATAAGAAAATATTTTCAAAAATATTTAAATATCTTTCGAAAATATGTTAAAAGTATTTTGTGAAACTACCGTTTTTCTTTAAATTGAAT